GGTCCTTCAAACTAATTCGTTGCATCCATCGGAGCATTTTCATGTCGGTTCGTTGAAGTTGTTGTTCCAGTTAGGTGTCATTGGCCATGTTTCTGGACGTATCACAGATTTATAAAGTCTTGATCGTAGTGGTAGTGGGATGTCACGCCGCATCAAAATAGAGGCAAGGAGATGCCATTTATTCCAGACTGCACGTATGCGTGCTCGAACGGCAGCTCCAGCTGTTCCAGTACAATCCAGAACATCCCCTAGATATTAAAACGATGTGACTTTCTCTATTTTAATGGCTTCAAAAACATTGCTATTTTAAATTTGTTGTTGTGGATTGGTGCAAGCAGGACAAACAAAATTGGACTCTTTAGATAAAGTACCAATTATTTTTGAACAACGCTTGTGACACCACTGGTTACACTGCTGACACTTGATTGAATTGTTACCTACACCAGCTTTACAAACTGAACAGGGCCATCGTCCAGTAGCTGTGGATTGGATGGGTTCACCAGTGTTCATTGCTTAGGTTTTGATGATGTTGACTTGAATCCATGATCGGCGAGTCTGGTGTTCCAATCTTCAAACATCTGTGCTGCATTCTGCTCAAACGATATCATTAGCATATATTAGATTTCAAATGTCACCAATGCGTATCGGTTTTGTGGTTTCTTCCATCACAGTTATAAATAACAGTGGACTGAGAATCCAATGGTTGTGCTGACGAGAGTCTTATCATTCGTATACATTTCCATCACAAGTCGAACAAGATATTCTGTAATGAGTTGTCGACGTAGACTCCACCTGATTGCTTCACGGGGAACTCAATCAAATGCTTTTTCAATGTCTACAAAAATGTGTAATAGTTGATGCTTTGCGAAGTACTTTTCTTGCAGTTGCCGAATTGCATCAATTGTTGATTTCCCCGCTAGGAAACCAAATTGATAATTTCCGATTGTGGTGCACGACGTTAATCTTCTCTCAATGATTTTCTCGACAATTTTCAGGAAGTGTTCTAACAGACGTATACCCCGATATGATGAACAGTTCAATGAATCACCTTTTCCTTTGTATAGCGGAATTGTCATGCTATAGTTCCATTCAGTCGGCATTGAGCAATTTTTCCACACTTCACGGCAAAGTTGTAGTAACGTTTGGATACCTGCAGTACCAGATGGTCTGATAATGTCATTTGTGAGTCCAGAGAGCCCTGCGGCCTTTCCATCCTTCATAGCTTTCAGAGCTTCTATAAGCTCCTCTTCATCTATCTCCTCTAATAATTATTCTATTTATTCGTTTTTTTTAAATCATTATTTTATTATGCTTCTTTTTTTCATATTTATTATGCTTAAACATTCTTACACTTCAAACATTCTTCTTCCTTATCGAACACATAACTTACCCACTAAGTCATTAAATAATTATTTATTTTTATTTATTTGTTTTTTCCATGCTTATTATGACTGAACATTCTTACTCCGTTGTTTATATTCCTGTCTGTAATGATATTAAAAATATATGGATGACCAATTAATTAATTAACTAATTAAGCAATAATATATAACAGTTGATTTGTTTAATTTGTTCAAGAACCGACTGAAAACATTTTCCATCATTTGTTTCTTGACATGATTTTGAGATTTGGATTGAGTGATTTCATTTACTTCGGTTCCGAAATAATCAGTCATATATAAATAAAGAATAAAATATATGGGCCCTCCCATCATAAAAAAAATCTCAGAGAAGTGTAAGGGGTCACTAGCATATTTGTAGAATTTAAAAGCACGTTTAGAAAAAATTCCGATCGCTACGTGTTGTAAATCACGTAAAGTAAATTCAATATACAATTGTTTCTAAGAATTGCGTCGTAAACACGGAGACAAAAAACAAAAAGTAAATGACCACACGCAGTGACAGATAAGTGTCATGCCAGGTTTACTTCTTAACAAATATCAAGCGTGCAATACTTTTGCACAAGAGTGCAATTTTAACAAAAACCAAAATTTTTCAAAAAACATTTATCTTTCTTCAACTTAAAATAAGCTATTAATTTTGTTATAAATATAAAAAATTAAATAAGAAACAATGACACTTCTGAAATAAAATGAAATAATAAGAGGTAATTAACATATTATATCAATTCCATTAAATTATTGGAATCCATCATCAAATCAGTACAAAAACATTTCTTTCCTAGTTTTTTCTTAATATAGTTTTGTATCTTTGCTTCATTCGTTTTCTGAACCAAATATCTTAATTTTTCTAACAAAATATGTCCATTTTTTATTTTGCTTTAGTTATGAATTAGTAAGGTCAGCAAGAATGCAGCATCCAATGCTGAGATAGCGCCTATCAATACAACAGACTAGAGATGCAAAATAAACCGGCTACTTATTTTCTCAACAAACCTCTTTGAAGATCAAAAGACCCCTCTTTCATCCCACTGTCAATCAACATTTTTCGAGCTTCTGATTGGCTGTGAGCTGCTACCCATTCAACGTTTTCGTTGGTCGGTTCATTTTTCTTTAAAATAAGGTGCGTTTTGATTTAAGTAATGTTTGTTAAGATCATCATCACATTTCATATCATCAACGGGTTAATATTGAAACGTGGACTGAAATAAGCAGTCCAGATCATTCACATTATCACAACCATTGTGCAACCATTTTGTTATAATTCATAATTAAAAAACTCAGTTTTGGTCACTAATGTTATAAAATCGTTTATAACAACACAACATCGGTGACCAATAACCTGAATAATATTTTAACCTGAATAACTCTTACAAGGGAAATGAGTGAAAATTTAATAGAAAAATAACCGATTCAAATACATTGAAGATTACTTTTATAATTTTGTATGCAGGTATTTGGTGGCCCCACCATAACTGCCTGGATATGCACCAGTCCCTGTCAGAAATATCAAATGGCAATAATATAAAAAAGTTAAAAAAATAACACAATGATACAAAAGAGAAAGCAAAGATCAACCCTTTGAAAAGCAGCAGGAGTGGTGAATAATTACCAACCTTATGTTATGCAACCAATCAAACCATTGCTTCTTGTAATGAGCCGGAACAAACTCCAGCTCACCTGATTCAACTGCCTGAAAACAACAAAGTTTAAAATTTCATAAACTTTACTCATTGTATATGTATTCTCATTTACTCGTTGTATATGTGTTCAAAAAATTTTCATTAGATTTTTAGCTTTGTAAATCTAATTTTAAGCGTAGTAAAGTAATATCGGTAAAGTAAGTTGAAGTAACCTTGATGGCACATTCCGCCATTGTATCGCACTTAACAAACCACTGCTCCTTTACAACATACTCAACAACATCTCCGGACCGGCTGCAGATGGGCAAACTCATGCTGTGCTTCTCAACACCTCGCACTAGATCCAACTCTCGCAAGCGTTCTTCAACCAACGCACGAGCTCTGTACCTCGGAATGTTCTGCGTTGTAACATTAGAGATCGACGAATGAATGAGCGGTCGTCATGAATGTTGTTGCAACGTACGTGATAGATCAGTGATACCAAATAAACCGACTCCACTCAGGACAAATTTAAATATAATTAGCATAAATTAATTAATACAAAGAATTGAATAAATTAAAAAATAAAGATGAATCTGCTAGCAAAAAACATCCAACTGATCGATTGCAAACGTGATGAAAAAATTAAAACAGAAAAGGCAATGAAGGCGCAACCAAGCCTTAAAATAATAAATTAATAGTCTTGTAATGAATAGTGTTGAAAACTTGAGATGGTACCAAAAATTGTGGCTGGACATTTACGAGGAGGCCTCCGTCATCCAACATGTTGACAACCGGCAGGTTGTGTCGGTCGGCAATCTCAAAGTCAAACACGTCGTGGGCAGGCGTCAGCTTCACTGCTCCTAATTCGCAAATTAAAATCGCCAACATTCGATTACTTTTAATTTCTCATAAAACGTACCTATTCATCAAAACACTGAAATAGATAAGAAGAAATGCGTTTGACATGAATGTATCAAATGCATTGTATTCAATGTATTCGATATATTGCAAGCAAGTTATTCACTGAAAATAGTAAAACAGTAAGTAATTTATTAAATTTTTAAAGTAATAAGCTATCCAGGCTTACATGATCTCAAAGGCCAATGCAAATGAATTGAAGACAAAACTAACTATTTTCGAGTTTGACAGAGTTCAATTAAATGATAAGCATGTTTGTTAGCATAATTTGAAGTAATGATCAATCACGGTAGACCTGTTCCAAACTTTGGGTCCACTTTTTCATCAGAAATAATTGGCAACTGTTGCTGGCTGATTGGATGACGCACAAATCTGATGATGAAATCTTCAATTACTTTTGCTATTGTCGTTATTATTATAAGTTAAATAATTACAACCTAATAGAAAAATGCATATTCATCAAAATAAATAAAACAAATAAGTAAATAAATAAATAAATGAATAAATAGATGAATGAATGAATGGATGATTGAATGAATAAATAAACATCTAAATGATGTTTAAAAAGTTGCTGATAACAACATGCACGTTGAAGGTAACCTGCCAATGAGGTGTTGGTATCTTCCATCGGAGGGGTGGACAGCAAGAGCCACATCTGCCAGCATAGTTTCCAACCTCGTTGTTGACACGCATATTTCCTCCTCTAAAGAACAAACATTGACGTATTAACCATTCTATATATTATGTTTGAAAATTGAATGATAACCTACTGGAGTCAACAATGGGATAAGCAAATGTGGTCAGTGTTCCAAAGAGAACTTTTTCATCATAATTTGGCACTTTGATGAATGTAGGCTCTTCAATTTGTAAGCTTTCAACCTGAAGATGATAAATTTAAATAAAATTATACCAATCATTCATAAGTTATATTAGAATAATTTTTATAACAAATGTTTAAAAGTCATGTTAAAATGCTATCGAAGCATTAATGAATAAGTTCAGGTTAGAAATATAGTGCCAGTGAATAAGTATCGCATAGTTATGCACGTCGCTATTCAACGAATTGTTTCAAATTAAAATGAATCCCTGCAAAAGGGAAATGTCAGAAATGCAAATGAACGACGACCTCGATATCACTGATGGCTGACTTGAGGGCACACGACCAGTTCACGAGTCTCTTGCTTCTGTATATCAATCCTTTCTTGAAGAGCCGCACGAACGCCTCGTTTACTGCATGACTCAACCTCTGAGCATTTTAAAAACAATTACATTGATGTCTGTTGAAATTAATAAATAACCAACACGCTATTTTCAACACTTCCAAGAACATCCTGGCTGTTGTTAACTTTGTGTTCATATCCTATCACATCATCTTCCTCATCATAATCATTGAAATCAATATCATCATCAACATCGTTATCACTTTAAGCATCATCATCAACATCTTCGTCATCATTGAAATATCACTTCTTCAGCAGAACAAACCAAAACTAGAAAATTTTATAGAGGCCCTCGACAGCTCAACAATGCAACACAATACATCATTTAGTTAGATCAGAATCTTCAAGTTCATCATCATCTTTGACAACGATCATCAATAACATTAATGAATCATCACCATCATCATCTTCTTCTTTTTCCTCATCATCACATACAACCTCATCCAATGTGAAGGACATTCTGGACCAATCAAGTGAGCAGCCCATCATCTTCATCTGGTCAAAGATTCTGTTCCCATATCTACAAAAAAGAAAGAAATAAACAAACGACAGAACATTATTAGTCTTGAATAACATTAATATTTTATTATAAGCGCAGCTGTTTCGCTATGTGGTGGTGTCACTGCTGTCATTTTGATAATGAACTAATAATAATGATTTCTACATTTCTTTCCATTTGTGCACTTCCTGGATAAATGCATCCCTTCCAATATCAAGCCTCCTGACATTCTTCGTCTTCAACAAATGCTTCTCAACCACCGCCTTTAACAAATCAAAAATTCAATCACGATAAATAACTCGATAAATTAAATATTCGGTAGAATAATAATTAAACAAAACTGAAATGCAATTGAAATATTAAACTGTAAACTTCAGAAACTTGAATAAATGTAGGGACCGACCAACCTGCGTAGCGATGCCTGCATGGTCGCAGCCTGGCACCCAGGTCACCAGCTTCCCATTCATTCTTTGCCTTGTTCATTAAAATTATTATTTTCACCTTCATTAGCACTATGCATATTTGTGCATGTGACATTTTTAATTCACGAAGTTTTTCTCGTCTTAAAATACGGAAATGTTCATTTAAATTTGACATGAAAAAATAAAAATAAGAAATTCAAATATGAAATATCAATACGTTGAAAACAAAAAACAGATTTTGAAAGAAAGCGAGACAAGAACCATCTAGAGAGTGCATCTTGTATGGAGCAACCGAGTGCATGTCCAATGTGGAGGCAGCCAGTGATGTTGGGCGGTGGAAGGCACATGCTGAACCTCCCATCCCTCAAACACTCTTCATTCTCCTGTCAAGTTCATTAACGCTAATCACTACATTTCATTTTATAAACAATCGAGCTGTAAGAAATTATTATAAAATTGAAAATCAAATCACTGAATAAGCTCAAGTTGTTAATGTGATGTGACTGCTTGCAATCAACTTGACGAAAGTTACATTTTAAAATAAAAATGCCAGATACATGATCGGTGATTAAAACACTAAAAAAATCTATAACAGCACTTTATAAACTTGAGAATGGACAGTGAACAAGCCCATCTTCAACCAATGATCATACCATTTGCTTTCAACATGTTTTGGATCGTATGACTGAGATAAGAAATGACCGCCTGATTTTATAGAGTAACGTTCACGTGATTCATTTCAAATTAGAAGTAACTTTAAATCGCTATAAATAACCTCCCGTTGATACATCGCCTTCATTTTCCTCCTGGGATTTCTATAAAATTTTTGATTCAAAAAATTGCGATGTAAAAATTTGGGTTGATAAAATAAAGCAAATAATTGTTGATACTGAACAAAACTGAAAAATGCATAAACCAATTAAGAAAATCAAACCTTAAAATTTTTACAATTAAAGTTAAATGAGCAACCGAAACTGGTTTTTTAATCTTTCGAAAAAATATAAAACATAATTAGTACAGAATGAAACTTGCCCAGCAATTTTTCAAAGATTGAAACTATGTAAAAAAAAAGATGGTTTCTTGATGCAGCTTTGCTACGCAACAACTTCAACAACTGCAATCTCTCATTCAAAAATCAATTCGCCTCGACTATCTCTCACTCAAATATTCAACCTGCTTGATTTCAGGTGGAAGATAGTGCGGTTTCCCGCAAACAAAAAATCAATTTAATCAATTGTAGAATTGGCTCTAACTACAGTCTGTCTAAGCTGGTTAAAAACAATTCTTTCTTGCATGAAGATGAATTCAACGGTGGCGGACTAGTAAACTGTGTCAGACTTGGATTGTTGAATGTGAGGTTCATTGGGTTAAGTGGGAACGTTATTCATGAGCTTATATGTGATGGTTTAAATGTTTTTGGTGCTCATTGAAACGTGGCATGGTACAGCCGGTAAAAATTCTGTCCGATTGGCAATGCCACCGGGGTATTGGTTCGTTGGCTATGTTAGGAAGCATGATCCGGGTCATGGAGGGTTAGGTTTTCGCTAAGATTTCAGATACAAAAAGTTAATGCTACCTTTGTTTGTCACATTTGAAGCTGTGACCATCAGATTAATGGTTAATGGGAATCAGTTGATTTTAATTGGCATATATAGGTCAGGTTCAGCACAGATAACTTGTTTTTTGAGGAGTTGGTATCAGTTTTAGAATACGTTACAATGTTAAACTCAAACATCTTGTTGATGGGTGATTTTAATGTGCATATCGAAAAAGTTAATGATCAACATACCATTCGTTTGTTTGAAATATTAAAAACATTTCAGTTGATAAATCACGTGCATGAACCAACTCACATTCTGGGTGGTACTCTTGACCTAGTAATTAGTTCTAGTATTTTCCTATTTCCAGAACGATGGTATCTCCTTGTGGGGTTTTTTCTGACCATAGCTTCATAGAAATTGAGACATCAATTGCTCACAAATATGGCATCAAAACAAAAAATATTGTCAGATCGTGGAAGTGCTTCAATGACGATCAATTCATTCAGGCAGTGTTGAATTATCCTTTATCAGGTTCATGCCGAAATGAAGACGTCGGAGATGAAATGACCACGTTCAATGATGAAATAAAAAGTATTGTCGACAGATGTGTATCACTACGGGTGATTTATGAAAAGAGTGAATGCACTGCACCTTGGTTTGATGGGGAGTGTTTACGAGCTAAACGCAAATGTCGAAAAATGGAGAGGCATTACAGGAAATATTTGTCAAACTTGCATCGCAATAATTGGTTAAATTCTTGAAAGATAAACATAAACAATATTCAGACAGGCGCATTGGGTAGTGGAACAATTTAATTAAGACTACTTAAAACCTGTTCTCTAGATATCATGCCAACACATGTTTTTAAAAATTATCTCGATGTGCTCATCAGTTTCTTGAAGAATTTTATTAATCTCTGTTTACAGCTGGGTAAATTACCAAAGTATTTTAAGCATGCCAAAATTGTTCCAATCTTGAAAAAAACTGGTTGTGATGGTAATGAGATTGTGAACTATAGACCAATTTCTAATCTGCCATTTATTTCAAAAATCATGGAACGTGTTGTCTTGAGGTGTCTGTTGAAGGACCTGGATGAAAATAATTTGATGACAATTCATCAGTCTGGATATCGCAAATACCACTCCACTGAAACTGTTATATTACAAGATCTATCGAATTTATTTGTGGCTGCAGATGATCATAATATTTCGGTTTTATCATTTTTAGGTATGTCATCAGCATTTGATTATGCTCTACTTATGGTGTCTCTGGTGTTGTTCGCAAATGGTTCGGATCATATCTTATCGACCGTACACAACAGGTTGCATTTAAAAACTCGGTATCAGATGTAGCATTGGTGTCATCTGGAGTGCCGAAATGATCTGCTCTGGGGCCCATCCTATTCCTGCTCTACACATCCGACGTAATTAAAATGATCAATTCATATGGATTTGTTTGTCATGCTTTTGCTGATGACATTCAGATATTGGTCATCTGTCCTCCAAACTCGTCTAGAAATGAAATCGGCAGTTATAATTGGATGTCAAATAACTCATGTCAATATATCCTTCAGTACAACAGCTTCCAATCTTGGGGTTTTTCTTGACAGCAAA